ACACAAACCTTAATTCTGTGATATATTTAACCCACAAATCAATTCAATATTTGGAGAAAACTAAAGGAAATATAATTAATATCTCGAGTATTGTTGGCATACAGTCTGTGAGTATAATTATATATGATATTAGACTATTAATTAATTAAATGTTATAATTAAATATTAATTCTTAGAGTAAAGATGTGTCGGCTTATTGTATGTCAAAAGCAGCGCTGGATATGTTCACCAAATGTATGGCCGTTGAATTGGGTCCAAAACGAATACGCGTTAATTCAGTCAAGTAATATTATTTACTAACCTAGTTTAATTAATCATAAATGCAAATTAAACATGATGATTGACATTTTACTATTTTCAATGTTGCTAACAGTCCTGGTTCTGTGCGCACAAACATTATCAGAAATGTTCCCTTAAGTGCCGAACAATTCAAAGTTATTCGCGAAAATATTAGCGGCAAATATCCGGTCGGACGGGTCGGTGAGGGACAGGACATTGCCAACGCTGTTGCCTATCTGGCCGGTGATCATGCTAGTTTTGTGACCGGTACAATATTGGTGGCCGATGGCGGTCACCTTGCTGCTAATATTAACTTACATTAAGCGTGTTACTTTTAAAATTATCATTATAAATCTATTATTTTTGACAAAATGAAATTATTTATCAATTATATTATTGGTAGAAAATATAATATTTTATATTTTAAACATCAGTGTGTCTAACAAATTAAAAATTATTAATAAAGTAAATTTTTTAAAAATTTATAATTATTTATCATATAATTCACGAGCAAATATAATTAAAATGTTTATTACTATCATATTTTTGCGCTTAGCGCAATATTGTATATAATGTGGTCGAAAAAACACTTTGGTAATCCTGTTTACCAACATTTTACCAATAATTCGTGTATTATTTTGTATTATAATTTATTTTAATTTAATGCACTTAAATGCATACTTTTGTAAAAACTAAGAATGAATTTATAATTAAATTTTAAAGCTTAAAAAATATATTTATAATATAGGCATATGTTTTTAAAAAATATTGTTTGATATTAATTAAATTTATGAAACTGTGACTTAATATTTGCTTTATAATATTTATATAACATAAATTCTAAATTTCCACTTATAAAATTTAGGAATAAAGTGAATAGCCCAATATTAAATCTTTGTAAATGTATGTTAATTAATTTTTTATTTGGTTATTTATTTTACATTGTAAACATGTTTACAAAAAAATTTTTTATTTATTAAATATTGATTTTAATTTTACAAAAGCAATTAAAAAACTTATCACTATTTTGTTATTAAATAAATATTTAACTTAAAAGCTTTTATTATTTTATCTAACGAGTGATTTATGGCCAGTACTGCACGCATCGTGAGTTATATTTTTAAAAATGATATATGTCAATTTAATTGCAAGAGTTTTGCTTGTAGTGTCAAACAATATTTATAATATCTAGTTTTTTGCCACATGATCGATTACATTATAAGGTTTATTATGTTTATTAGTGTTTACAAAACAATATTGATTAATGAATTTAAACTATTTTCTATAGAATTTTAATAATACCTGCAATAAGAAGAAGGAATAATAATATTTATATTTTGTATTATATATGATCAAAACCTGTTTACTCAACAATTTATTAATAACATTTTTACATTATAATTAATGTAAAGCATAAAATAATTTCAAAAATATACTCTTGAATATTTTGTCCAAATTTAATGATTATATAAAACAATATAGTAATCATGGTACATAATAATTGTATGTTTTTAACAAATATAAATATATCAACACAATTACAAACATTAGTTAATGGCGACAATTGTAACATCAGAATATCCATCTCTAAAAGACTTGTAAATAATATTAAAATAGTTATATTTTAAAAAAAACTTTAATTAGATTTCACCTTTTTAATAGTATCAACAAATCAGCTCAGATTTATACAAAATATGTAATGAATACTCATTTATCGTTGACTTGATATATAATTATGTGAAATGCAGGTAATATATAATTTTTATAAATTTATAATTTATATTTTTGAATAAACACATACTTTGTAACAATTGAGTGTAACATTTGTGCCAACGTTACAAATCATCGGGGGCACTTTGTTACCAAATGGCAGTTGGACTGGAATTATGGCTCAATTCAATCAAAATGTATTAATTAAATAAATATATTGTATACATTATTTTGTTGACCATGTTATACTGTTAAATAGATAACCGATATATCAGATGGTTGGATGATCTGTACACATGAACGGCTTTTGATAAGCGAATTATTGTACCCGACTTTTGTTTCCAATCTAATCACCATATTATCGAGCGAGGTGCAACAATTTGGCAACGTAACCCTGCTGGACACTTTTAGTACAATACTATGGACTGCTATAATATTATCTTTAGTTATTAACACGTCAGTTACTGTTGTTAATAATCTAATTCACTATCGTCAACTCAACAAAAATGTTGATACAATCGAGGTTACGCTAAATGTGTTGTTTGATTACATGTTGGTACTATTAGGAAATTGTATGTTATGTTAAATTAATTAAGGAATTTTACAAGTTTTATTAATTCACTTTATTTTTAGCAATAATAAGTAAATATACACGAACAAGATCATTTGCAAATATTGTGTTTCTAATATGGCTAATAAATTGTGTATTTTTGATGCAATGGTTTATGAGTTGTTTTCTATCAAATCTGGCAAACAGTCCGGTGTTTACCATAAACTCATTGCAAGAAGTTGTGGACACCGGCAAAACCCGAGAGATGTCTGTATTAACCGACTCACGTAGTTATGCTTATCAAGTCTACCTCAAGGTATTATTTATAATTAATAAATTATTTATTAATTTTAATATTTTTTAACGCACTGTACAGTATAAATGTATGTATATATAAGTTATGATTCAAATTGTTTTGTTCACTATTCAACAAGATCAAATACCCGAATTTAAAATATAAGTTTGTCAAACCGGGTGATACATACTCGGTCAATTTAATCAAATCAATAATCAATGGTCAATCAATACTGGCATCGGACGAGAATACAATCGACAACATTATATCAATAAACCCGAGTCTATCCCTCCATAAGGCATACGAGAACACAATGTTAACAATTGGGGGTCTATTGCTTCGTAAAGGTATTAATCCACGGATTAAACAACGATTAAAACAAAAGTAGTTTAAATGAATAAATAATAATAATTATTTAAATTTATTAAAATTACTTTTTTAATTGTTGGAATAGATTCATCATGATGTATGAGACAGGGCTATTTATGTGGCGAATGAAACTAAACCAGATTGTTTCTCGAACTGAACGTATGTTATGCGAAATGAAAATTAAGCATGGTATTTTACCCTTGGATCTAAATCCGGATAATTTTCATGCCATAAAACTAATCGAAATTAACGTGTTTTTCTATTCATTAATATTTTCTCAAACATTAATCACAATTGTATTTATTATTGAAATTATTTATTTTCTTTGTGTAAATGGTATAATAATAAAATATAAGTAAATAATACAGTTATTAATCTTAATTAAATTATTTTATACCAGTTAGATGAAACATTAAAAGCATGATAGAAATGGTTTTGGCGCCTTAATGTTATGCAACGCTCAGTCGCCGGTATTTATTATTATGCTGGGTGATTCATAGATAGTGTACACATATTAAATGAGCGAGGTTTACTTTTAATTATTTATATGTAATTAAAAGGGAAGAGATGAATATAAACTTAGTAACGTTAACAGTGAGTGCAAGTTTTAAAATTACATTGCTCATTTGTATAACAGCTCTTTCCTGCTCTAAAGGGTTGTGTGGTATAAATCATATTATGGTCAGACGACCCTCGCCTTGACCGCAGTCAACACATATATCGGGAGATATGAATATACAGTAATTACTAATATTATTTTATAAATATTTTATTTATCTTCCAAACATGAATGTATTATATATTATAATTTGCTTTATCTTATTAATGTAAAGATATGCAGCATACATTGTTACTTGTTAAATCTTTATAAAAATGAATGTACGTTTTAATGTAATATATTTTTTATGTTAAATATTAAACTTTCAAAATCAATATTTAATTGTAAGATTTGTTTTGTGATGTTTTTTATAAAAATTTCTATCTATTAATCATAAAAATATTTAAATATTTTCTGTTTTAATGATCAATGTTTTGCATTTATGTATAAAAATCATTAATGTTAATTTCATTGCAAGTTGTAATATACAACCAACATTGTAAAGCTGGTGGC